GGAAGGCAGTGATCCCGGTGGAGAAAATTTGGGAGGAGTGTCCGGGGGACAGCAATTTAAAAGGGGGAGGGACTGCGGCTAAGGAGACGGTCAGTAATGGAAGCGCAATGTATGACCGGATACCGTCTCTCAGCTTTAAAGGAGCAGGAAGCTGAGTGAGAGGCTGGAAAAAGTGTCTTCGCTAGGGGGAGGTTACAGGTGGTGTCTACGAAAGATCTCTGAGTCTACAGGCTGTAGTCGGGAAGAGGATCAGAGAACTGTGTGAAAGGGACAGCTCGGGGGCTAGCGTCCTGGGGCGACAGGGAAGTTCCAGACTTTCTGAGGACTGGTAGGAATGTGCCCGCTAGCCCTCGGTGCTTCCCCCCTGGGGGGAGGCATCGTGAGGGACTGTAGCTGGCTCCACTGAATGCCGAGCCGCGAAGGTCCAACTCCACGTATGGATCTAGGGAATGGGAATTCAGCCACAGAGGCTGCCGCGATCATAGACCTCGATCCCGACTTCGAACCCCAGAGCCGTCCCCGCTCCAGCACCTGGCCCCTTCCCCGACCAGAGCTCGCTACAGAGCCACCCGACCCGCCCGAGGTGGAGCCAGTTCTAGGAGAGAAGGTACACACGGAGGGGCGCTCAGACCCGATCCTGTTGCCCTCCCGGCTCCCAGAGCCGGCAGTGGGGCCCCAGCCTGGGATCCTGGGGGCTGTAACAGGTCCTCGGAAGGGAGGCTCCCGCCGGAATGCCTGGGGAAATCAGTCATATGCAGAACTCATCAGCCAGGCCATTGAAAGCGCCCCCGAGAAGCGACTGACACTCGCCCAGATCTATGAGTGGATGGTCCGCACTGTTCCGTACTTCAAGGACAAGGGTGACAGCAACAGCTCAGCAGGATGGAAGGTAACTATCAACTCCTTACCTCAGCCCCAGTGCTACCTACCCTAGGGCCCCCATCCTCCTTACTTCTACTCTGGAGCCCCTTTTACCACCACCCACCCCTTTGCAAGCCCAGAAATCCACCTTCAATGTTCATTTAGACATTTGCTTAGTACATAGTATATATGCCATACTCTGTGCTTGATGCTGGAGAATCACAGATGAATAAGACAACTGTCCCTGCCCTGGAGAAAACTGAATTCTCTGCTCCTTGCTCAACACTCCCAGCACTTTGGCCTGGGCTGTCCCAAAAACTCCCACAGAGAAGCCTTTATCCTGTGTACAGCAGAAATTATGTGGATTCCCCCACATGACCCTAGCCATCCCTCCTTCCCCATCTCCCACCCCAACACCTTTTCTCTCATTCCTGTGGGATTTCTTGGATTTCCCGCTTGCCTCCCAATACCTCAGTGTAGAGGTACTATACTAGGGCTGCTCTACCCAAGCGGGAACAAAAGATAAAAAGAGTGATATTCATAGGATTAGGTAGCTAGCCATGGCTGCACACTAAGAAGAAAAAGGGATTGGGCTGGTACTTGCCTCAATTTACCCTATAATGCCAAGAAATTTTCCCTTGTAAGGGGCTATTCAAGTTTTGGGAGAAGTCTTTATTTACTGCTGGGCAGTATTAGTCCTGATAAAGAAGATAGAGTTCTGATTTTTAGAGCACAAGGCTGAGAGTTTCCTTGGCTTTCCATGAATAAACTGTGAGGAAACATCTCACAAAATAATCTAAAAATTTGTCCTGAGTAATAAGGCTTCTAATCACGAAATAGCAGTCTCAGGGCACAGACAGTTTACCACTAGGCTACTGACTAAAAGGTTGAACCCACCCAGGGATGCCTAGCGATCTGCTTTCTGAAAAGTCACAGCCATGAAAACCCTAGGGAGCACAGTTCTACTCTGAAACACATAAGATCACCATTGGGTGACAACTAGTTTGATTTCTTTAATCATGAAACTGGGTGCTTGCTATGATTCTTAATTGACTCAATGGCACCTAACAACAACAACCTCTATTAATGTCTTGCCCCCCCAGGTGGTGACATCAGCATACAACTATGTACAAAGGGTTGAATGAACAGAGGATCTTCCCCTAGGTATAGGAGATTGAGAGATCAAATCTGCAATATCCTTAGAGGTTGACAAGAACAGAAAACAGGACAGCTGACTTGCAACCCTTGGCACTATTTCTGGGTAGACTGCCACACCACAGTCTCAGTTTATAAAGAACTCTCCTCCTTGGACCCAGCCTACACAGCTGTTTTTCTTTTCCCTTGTTCATTTTCCAGTGTAGAAGAAATAACCACAAGTTGTTGGGTATACTGTAGGACTGTAGTCCCTCCTTATAATTTACACTTATATGGGGCTTTTCATTTTACAAAGTAGTTTTAAAATATTCCATTTCATTCATCTTTACAAAACTTCTTTTTTTCCAACTTTTGTGAATTAGGTGACAATTTACAGAACAAATTGGTTTTCCATTCAACAATTCAGTTTGATTTGTGACATTGATTGCAATCCTCACGATTAAACAGCACTCTTCCCACTTCCTCCCTGTGTTTACCACTTCCATTCATCCTTCTTTCCTATCTATTCCTGCCTTCTGAGCTTTATCCCTGGGAAAATTGCTGCCCTTTTGATCTTGTATGATTGGTTGTTCTAAAGAGGGTATACCTACTTGGTGTTGTTCTTCACCTTATAGGCCCATCTATTGTTTGGCTGAAAGTTGAGCCATGGGGGTGAGTTCAGTTCCAGGCTTGAAGGATGACTAAGACCATAATCTCGGGGGTTCCTCCAGTCTCTATCAGACCTGTAAGCCTGGTCTTTTTTGTGATTTTTGTGATTTTTTTCTTCCACTCTATCTAGGACCTCCTATTGTGATCCCTTTCAGAGTAGTCAGTAATGGTAGCCAGGCATCATATAGTTCTTCTGGTCTCAGGGTCGTGGAGGCTGGGGTTTATGTGGTCCATTAGTCCTTTGGACTAAATGTTTCCATGTATTTTGATTTTCTTCACTTTTCTTTGCTCTGGACAGGGAGAGACCAATGGTTTCACCTTAAATGGCCATTCAAGCTTTTAAGACTCCAGTCACTACTCACCAGAGTAGGATGTAGAACATTGTCTTTGTGGACCTTTTTATTCCAATTGATCTTGATGTCCTGAGCCTCCAGACCCAGTGACTCATCTTCAGAGCAATTCTGAGATTGCGTATTTTGCACATTAGGAAAATAAGTACAAAAAGGTTAGGGTACTGGCCTAGTTAACTTCAGGTATTCTAACTATAAATCGTATGCTCTTTCTGCTAGTCCATGCTGCCAAATTCTCTTCCAGAATGTAAGAAGTACATGGCTTGCTCTCTTTGGAATGATAGCAAAACCAAATCAAGCTGAACCTAGGACTTCAGAGCCCTGGAGATGTGAGGAAAAGCCTCATGCCTGAACTGGCTTCCCCAGTGATGTGCTAAGGTTACTCCCACACCACCAGGGGGCAGCACTCACTTAGAACAAGAACACATAGGCTGGATGGCTCAAGGAGCAATAAGCATCCACTCCCTTCCAACATGTAAGAATTGTAGGCTTCCAAGGAGCTGACCTCTCTAGATAAGAGGCTGTACTACTTCTGAGTCCTAAAGATGAGGAGATGAACTAAAAAATGGCCTTCTCAGTACACCTAGGAATTAGAGGATGAAGAGGGGAAAATCATGGTGCCAGAAGTCACTGTGCTCCTGAGTTGCTAAAAGCCCTGGCTAGATGGACAAGTGCTACTCCTTGAAGGAGCATCAACACAAAAGAATACTTTGAATGCCATTATAACAGGGTCCCACATAGACAAGGAACTCTTTGGCTAAAGAGCCCTAGAACAAGAAACTGTTCAAACATCTTTCCCCAGGCAAAGAGTCTTCTTATCGTACAGCATCAGTCAGATTGATTGGTTTCTGACTGTAGCCTCAGCCTCCTAATTGCTCCAAGCCCTTCTTAGCTCCGCCTGAGTTTCTAAATTCTGAAGAGTTTCACCTGGGAGGTCAAATGCCCTTAAGGTTAGAGAATTTATGCACAAATTCCTGAGAAGTAGGGGAAGAGCTGGGAAGGAGGTAGGGAAGAGCAGGGAGATTGGGGCAGGTAGGCAGTGGTGTAACTAGCCTGAGGCAACCAGTAGAAATAAACTGGTTCAAGGACTGAAAAAGCTGCCAGTCTGTTCTCCAGGAGCCCCTGGAAGAAACTTACCACTAGCAGAATGTCATTACTTTAGTGAGGGAGGAAGGGAAGACATATTTTCCAATAACCAAGCACTCAAGAGCTGGCATAGCCTCAACTGGAGCCTCACCACTGTGCCCAGAGGCTACCTACCAATCAAACAACAAATGTTGATCTGAGCTTGGCACTCTGAGAGGCACTGTTGGGGGCTTCGGGACTGGAGAAAATGATCCATGCCCTTGGTGCTTACAATTGATGAGACTAATTACATGAAACTGTAAACAATGCAATACATAGACTGAGTAAAATTGTGTGGTGCAGATTAAAAATATATATTGTAGAAGAAATTGGCTGCAGAAGTCAAGTAACTACTTTAGGAAAGAGGTGGGATTTCAACTTGATCTTGATGAGCTAGTAGGATTTAGAGAATGAAGATCCTTCCCGGGACAAGGAGAGGAGGAATGCTCCTCTTGTATTTGAGACACAGGAGAAGCCAGATCTGAATGTAATTGGGGGTGGGGGTTCAGCAGACTAGAAGAAATAAGGTTGGAATTCAGAAAAAAAGGAATCTTCAAATTTTATAGAGAGCTGGAGCCCAAATGCCCTGAGGGGAATGAAGCACAGCAAGGCTGAGGTTCAGGCCCCTCAGCATTTTCAGAGAACTGACTCTGCACAGGATGGATCAGTCATGGGCTCCTGTTACACCACTGTCCTGTAAACTCCACCCAACCTGCACTCAAGGAAAGGGATGGAGCTGTGGAATGCTCTTTTCTCACCTGAGCCTAGTTCTTGCCGGGCCAGGGATATGCCTCTCCCACATCCACCAGCTCCAGACAGCCGCCAGAGACTTGGGAGTAGTACAATGCTGTGAGCTTTTCCTGGACAAGTTTAGTGCCCTCTGCCAAACCAAAAACAAACAAACAAACAACCAAACCCACTGCCATCAAGTCGATTTTAACTCATAGCGACCCACCTTGAGTTTCCAAAGCATGAAGTCTTTATGGAAGTAGATTGCACCCATCTTCCTTCCTCTGCAGCAGGTGATGCCCAGAAAGATCTGGAGCAGAGGCTGAGCAGCTTGCCTTAAGGGTGGGAGCTTGTGCGATCTCCCTGCCCCACCCCTCCCCTGCCTCCATCCATTTATTTCCTCCTGGGATTTGACTTTCTTTGAATCCCTAGGAAACCCCTACTGTGCCCCAGCATCCTTTTAGACTGGACTGCTGGCCACTGACCTCCACACACACACCTCATGCCCCTCTCCTGCTGCCTCTGCCCCCTCCAGAATTCGATCCGCCACAACCTATCCCTGCACAGCAAGTTCATCAAGGTTCACAACGAAGCCACTGGCAAGAGCTCTTGGTGGATGCTGAATCCTGAGGGAGGCAAGAATGGCAAAGCACCCCGCCGCCGGGCAGCCTCCATGGATAGCAGCAGCAAGCTGCTCCGAGGCCGCAGCAAGGTCCCCAAGAAGAAACCAACTGTGCTGCCAGCTCCACTTGAAGGTGCCACTCCAACAAGCCCTCTTGGCCACTTTGCCAAGTGGTCAGGAAGCCCTTGCTCTAGAAACCGTGAAGAAGCCGATGTGTGGACCACCTTCCGTCCACGAAGCAGTTCCAATGCCAGCACTGTCAGCACAAGGCTGTCCCCAGTAAGGCCAGAGCCTGAGGTGCTGGCAGAGGAGGAAATACCAGCCTCAGTCAGCAACTATGCAGGGGGTGTCCCTCCTACCCTAAATGAAGATCTAGAGTTGTTAGATGGGCTCAATCTCTCATCTTCCCATTCCCTGCTGTCTCGAAATAGTCTCTCTGGCTTCTCTTTGCAGCATCCTGGGGTTACTGGCCCCTTACATACCTACAGCACCTCCCTCTTCAGCCCAGCAGAGGGGCCCCTGTCAGCAGGAGAAGGGTGCTTCTCAAGCTCCCAGTCTCTGGAGGCCCTGCTCACCTCTGATACACCACTACCCCCTGCTGATGTCCTCATGACCCAGGTAGATCCTATCCTGTCCCAGGCTCCAACACTTCTGTTGCTGGGGGGGATAACTTCCTCCAGTAAGCTAGCCACAGGAGTCAGCTTATACCCCAAACCCCTAGAGGCTCCAGGCCCCAGCAGTCTGGTGCCCTCCCTTTCTACGATAGCACCACCTCCAGCCATGGCGGGTGCTCCCATCCCCAAGACCCTAGGTACTCCTTTGCTCACACCCCCTACTGAAGCTGCAAGCCAAGACAGAATGCCTCAGGATCTAGATCTTGATATGTATATGGAGAACCTGGAGTGTGACATGGATAACATCATCAGTGACCTCATGGATGGGGGCGAGGGACTGGACTTCAACTTTGAGCCAGGTACAGCACTCCCTAATCACCCTAGCATCTCACAACTTTCTGCCCATTCCTAGGTGCCCAGCTAGTCCCATAATCTGAGCAAAAGGGAGATTTTAAAACAAAGGGTAGCTGGAACTCCTGAGCAATTTGAGAAAGGTTGTCATATTAGAGTGGCATAGTTTCTGGTTGAGACCTCCATGCCCCTCAGCAGTGCCCATTCCTACAAGGTAGCAGAGAAGAGGTGGGGAGGGGTCTCTGTTTCCCTTGGTATAAACTTGGGTGATGGAAAATGGTCGTTCCCCAGATAAACCTCTTACCTCTGCTGTTTCTTCTTCCCACAGATCCCTGAAGCATGGCTGGAAGCTTTCTCCTTTGCTTCAGAGGTGGAGCTAGGCTGTCCATATCCACTCCTTACCCTTGACCCCCTCCCCAGGATTTGGTACCCTGCTTTAGAGCTAGGGTGGGGTCTGGTCACTTGTGGGAGTTAAGGAAACTATGAAGATAAAAGCTGCCCCATATGGGGACTATGGGAGGGAGGGAAGAGGGAGGGAGAGAGGGAGAGGGTTTATTCTCACTGTGCCAATTAGGGGGTAAGGCCCCCTCTGGGAGCCATCCTTGGCTTCCCCCATTCCCACCACCTAGGCTTTGTGACAGGGGTGGGCAATGCTGTTGGAAATGTGAAGTCACCAGTGGCCTTACCCCTGCCTTTGGGAGCAGGATTTTTTTGTAGAGAGTTTTTTCTGAGCTGGGCCAGGTATAGTTGAGCCTGGAGTTGTTACGCAGTGGTCCCTTAGACCTGTGGTGCAGGGTAGAGGGCTAGGAGGAATCTAGAAGGGCCAAGACCTAAGCACTGGAGTGTTAGCGAGGCCAAATCACCCCTAGGAGGGCTACAGGTAACAGAAAAGCTTTTTATAAACTTTTAAAGAAATATAAACACAAATATAGAGATTTTTAACAGTGTCAGGTACTTTTCTTTCTGAAGGCTTTGTCATAGTGATATGATACAAACACTACAGATAATACTAGGGAAGATCCAGGAAAATGAGGGAGAGAAGGCCAATAGAGAAAAGGGAAACAAGGGGGAAGCGATAGGGAGCAATAGTGAATAAGGTTAAGAACTTTCATTTGGACCAGGTCTAAGAAAAAAAATTACACAGAAATAGGTTGGAGTTTCCTTAAGGGAAAGGCTAAGCCAGGTCCCCTATTTCTATCAACTTGTGCCTGGGAGTGAACAGTGTTGGGATGCAACCACACTCTTTGTGACCCAGTGTGGGTTAGTGCTACTGTGGGAGAGTGAATTGAAAGCCTGGAATTAGCTTAGAGCCTGGGAAGGGGATGGAGTGGGAGAAGGGAAGGAGGGAAGGATTTAGGGTGGTAAAAGTTAAGTATGGAGACCTCCCTGTTCAAGGCCTCTGACAGCTGTCCCTGCCCTTCTTCCCCTTCCCTGAATACAGAGGTTATGTGAAAGTGTTTGTGGTGGCTGAGAGTGAAGAGGGAAGAAACATGGAATGGGAAACTGGGGATCTTAGCTGTGGGTCTGAGAAATGAGCGGGGATGGGGAGGTACATGGATCAGGCTTACTAGCACCTGCCAGGGAGGCCATCTGGGGCTCCCTCTTTACCCTATCCCCTAAAGCAGCCCCTCCCCCAGTTCTCTTTGCATTGTCCCCTCCCTCGCCCCTGCTGTGGGTTCCCTTTGTTTCCTGTGTCAGAGCCTGGCCTACCCAGATTATATCATGTGCTAGATTGGAGTGGGGAAGTGTGTCAAATCGATAAATGAATAAATTCAATAAATGCTTATAACCATTTCTGGTTTCTGCTGCCTTGCTGCTCCCAGGGTATAAGGGGGAAAGAGGAGGGAAGGGTAAAGGGCAGTGAGGGGGGGGGGCAGGAGAGACTGCCCAGAGCCAGAGAGGTGAAAGGTGAGGGAATTTGTCAGGGGGAGGGGGTGGAGTGTAGTGAGGGGAGGGAACATACCTGACACCTAACCCCAGCAGGAGTAGGTGGGCTGTGAGATAGGCTTTCCAAGGAGTGATAGTCTGGTTTAAGAATACCCCTCATTCTATCCCTCAAAGGCTCATTGTACTAAACCAAAAAAACTCACTGCCGAGGAGTCTGTTCTGACTCATAGAGACCCCTCCTTGGGTTTCTGAGGCAGTACCTCTACGGATAGGTTGCCCAACTTTCCTTCTCAGGAGTGTCTGGTGGGTTTGAACCACCAGCCTTCTGGTTAGCAGTCAAATGCCTTAGGCACTAAGCCACCAGAGCTCCCCTCATTGTACTAGACTTCACAGTCTTCCCTCATCCCCAACCAGGTGCTCACTGCAGCCCCCATTAAGCCTCAGAGTCTCCGCTGTGCCTGGGGCTTCTTAAGCCTTGGTGCAAATCTTGGGGAAAGAAGTCTTTCTAGAAAAAGGAAATACATTAAATTCCAGTAATTTCATACCAGGTATTGCTGCTCTCCCTTGGTTAGTTTATTTAGTTACGATGATGGTGACGACGACGTTTATCCTTCTTGGTGACTAAGGCTGGTCTGGTCTTTAATGGACCCTTACGAGTGGTACCTTCTTCCTCTGCTCTTCTTCCTTTAGACTGGAAAAGGAAAGGGTCCGTAGTAAGCAGACACACAAAGAAGCCCCTGCAGGGAAGGTTTCTAACAAACTAAGGCCAAAGGAAGGACAAAAAGTTGGAGGCAGGACTTTGACATGAATGTTGGATTGAGAAAGGAAATTCATCCAAGGGGGCCAAGGTTGAGCAGTTTTCAGTTGGTTGGTGGGAAGAGAGGGCTGCCAAGACAAACTGCATTTGGGAAGTCTTACTGGGAGGTTCACCGTGGATTCAATTACAGTGACCTTCTTTGCTTCTTGGATTTTAAGCATCTTCACTCGGCTCTTCTCTAGGAAGTCACATTGTGTACGCAGTGAATCTAGGAAACATGAAAAGGCACCCAAATCTCTGAGGACTGAGACTTTACCTATCTCCAGCCCTCCTCATCATTCAAACTGTCAGTTGCAATAACCAGGCCTAAGGCTAGACTGAGGAGTGATCTGAAAGTGACTAAGTTTTGCCCTTTTCAGTGAGAAATGGGACAGTAAGACACCAAGAAGAAAGGGATGAAGGGAAAGATGGAAATAATGGGGTGCTGGTGATAGGGAGATGTACTGAGACGATGGCCCAGAAATTGGAGCAGATGGAGGGGTGAATGACACTTGCACACTTCACCTGGTTTGAGCTAAATATCCCTCCTACTAGAATGGACCAAGGAGCTCTGGTGGCATAGTGCCTAAGGCATCTGACTACTAACCTGAAGGGTGGTGTTTCAAACCCACCAGCCAGTCCTCAGAAGGAAGGTTGGGCAATCTACTTCCGTAGTGATACTGCCTCAGAAACCGAAGGAAGGGTTGCTATGAGTCAGATCCCACTCGACGGCATGCATGCGTTTTTTCGTTTTTAGAGTGGACCTGGATCCTATTCCCCTTTTCCTAGGACCCTGTGATCCTACAGTGTAAACTAGCCCTACCCTGTATTCTCTACCACACAGATATGTACTGTACTCTCCATGTTCTTCCCTCCTCCATCATGCTCCTTACCAATTAGCTCAGGCTCTGGATTCTTCAGGAGGGGCACAAAAGCTCTGTAGGCATTCCGAAATCGGATTCCTGTGAACACAGCAATATGTTGTCCCCAACCTCTGTTACCTAGTATCTACCCATTCAAAGCCCAAGATTTAAGAACCCTAACATTAAACACTACTTTGAGCTGGTGGTGTACCTTATTTCCTCCCCTTAGGTCTATCGCTAGGATAAGGTGGGGTGACATGGTATGTGTGAACATAATCTATTGTCACAGAGGCAGTGCTCTTTCTTCAACTGACTAGAGATAGTCAATTTGGATCTGGTTGAGGGTGCCTTATTTTAAGGACAAGGTTCATGATCTATCTTGAGGGCTTGGCTCTATCTCTGGGGAATATTCCCAAGCCTCTACCTGGTCCTCCACGCTCCACCTTACAAACGTAGTAGGTGTTTCTGGGTGTAAGGAATTTGCTGGCATAGTCTCCAGGGGTCTTCACCAGGAAAAGCAACTTCATGGTCCCTGTTTCATCACACAAATCGATGGTGTCTGGTGGGAAACCACAGGGTAATTGAGGCAGTTAAGGAAAGAGAGTGGGAACAAAAGAGGTCAGTGATCCTATACAGAATGGGTTGGAGAAGCTGTGGGGTTATGTGGAACTCCTTTCTTGCCAAGAGGAGGGTTTGGGGGCCGGGCATGATTCTACTACTACTGGCCCTTGGCCATTAGTCCCCTCCCCAAACTCCTCACCTGTTTTAAACAACCGCATTTTACGGCGAATGTAATGCAACAACAGGAGAATGGAGCAATTGGTATTGACCAGAAACTGCTGATTATCTGAAAAAAGATGAGATGGGGCATGTGGACCCATCTTTAGTTACATAATCCCTGTGATTAGTGCCCTCAAATCTCACCACCCTTGTTCACAGACTACAGCTGTATGGTGCCCCTCACCTCCATGTTTGATGAAGATGAACATGCTTTCAAGATTTTCTTAATCTTCATAGAGAGGCCTGATGATTCATGCAGAAGTAGAATGTTCTAGAGGGTCTTGGGGGCCAAGTGGGCCCATAGGGTTAGGGGGCTGGAGGGGCAGATGGGTCCCATAGGCCAGAGGAGGCCCAGACTGGGCATATAGAAGAGAGCTATTGGCAGTTATGGATAACCAGCATCCCTAGGGGGTGGGGCCTGAGGCCTCAGTTGAGGGATTATGAGGTCAGAAATGGTATGTATGGCAAAAGGTGGAGGAAGGATAAGAAGAGAGGAATTTGGGTTAGATTGTAAGAGATTAGTTGGGAATGAAGGCAAATGTGGTAAATCTAACTCTAAACTGTACTCTGGAATGACTGCAGAACACCTAGAGGAAAGCAAGTTTCTTGAACAGTACTATTTTCCAGTTAAAGTACTGCATAGGTCTACTACACCTTTTTCCTACCCTCAGCACTATGTCTCCCACCCTTATTACACCCCATGCTTCTCCTGCTCCCTGTCCCCATGCTATTCTGCTTCACTTTTTTAAATATTTTATTTTATTTTTGTGAACATGACAGACAAACTTATTATTATCAACAGACACTTTATTTCTCATTGATTCAGTAACAATTGAAGGGTAAATGGGAAAAGGGAGGGAGGGACAGAAAGAGAGACTCCTGAGCAAAAGAAGGGCCAACTGGGGGAGATGGGAAACAACTGCAGGGCAAAAGGATAATTCAGGTAAGAGTTACTAAATGAAAGGGCAGTTATGCAGGGCATAAAATTCAAACTCAGCCACAGAGAAGCGAGGTGAACATTGGACCCAGACTGATTGGATAAGGGGAAGTTAGTACAGCATGGGGCTATAGGACTCTGGGCTTTTGTCAGTGTATCAGGAGTCAGGATTCAATGTGTAACAGGGGGGGAGGTCAATAGGGGCAAGCTGGCTGCTGGAGGAGCCTCCAGGCCCCTCTCCTAGGGCTCCTCCTTTTGAGGGAATTTCACTGACGTGGCAGAGCCGTTCACTGTAGTCTGGCTGCAGACTCTCGGCCAGTCCCTTAGACACACCACTCCAGGCCTAAAGATAGATATCTCCAGGTCAGAGATCATTTAGGAGCAGGAAGTGAAAACCCAGGGTCTGTGCCAAGGGAGATCTCAAAATGTCTACAACTGCTGTGATTACTGAAGGGCACAGACCCATGGGCCCCCAATACCACAGTTTCCATCTGCCTCACCCAATCTATAATCAGTTCTTCTATGTGTCTCTGTCTAGCCCATTGCCCGTTTGGTTGGCCACATCCTGACGGTTAGTTCAGGCCCCCTTCCTCCTTCCCTCTGTCTTGCTGGCAGGCTGTCAGCAGTTGCCAGACTGAAGGCTGCTTATGGCAGTGTTCTCACCGAAAAATTCCCCTGGTATTCAGTAACTAGGTCCTCCAGGTTCTTGAGGGTAGGAATTCGGGGCATTGTCCTAAGTGAGGAGAAACAGAAAGCAAGAGAATATTGGTTAAGCTCTTTTATTACCCTTCTCCCAGTTCCCCAATATAGAATGCAGTGACTCCATGTTCTCTATGCCTGTAGCTTCTTCCCATCACCATGCCCTCTTGGGTGATCCCTTGTTCCTTATCATCCTGCCCCCTACTCTTAGAGGCCCTGAAATAACTCTCTTCTACTATTCCTAGCCACTCCCACCTCTTTTTCCCCTGGGCTTACCCAAATCTCACCTTTCCAGCCAGCAGTACACAAAGATGAGGCTAATAATGAAACCCATGGAGCCAAGGGGAATAAGCACAGTTTCCAATACAAACAGCCAAAGATTTTCTACAGAAAAGAGGAAAGGGAAAGGGATCTAATATTTGTGGTGCTTCTACTATGTGCCAGTATTTATTTGTAGAGTCCCAGCTTGGTGTCAGGCACTGTGCTAAATACTTTTAGTATTTTTAATCTTTACAACACCTAAGAGGGAGAAACAGTTATTATCCTTCATTTTACAGGTGAGGAAACAGAATTAAAAAGGTTAGTAATGTACCAAAGACCAAGGGGGTAGTAAATGTCAGAACTACATTTAAACCCTATATCTGTCTGATTTCAAAGCCATCTTCAACATGCTGGTTCTCTAGGAAAGCTGTAGGGAAATCCTATACATTCTATAACCTTTTGAGTATTTCTCTGCCTCCGTATATAACAGTTTGCACTCCCCTACCATAATAACACCTTGCCCCAACCTTATACAAAAAAACCTTGCTTCCTGGGGATTGGGATTGTACAGTGAACTGAGATGGGGCACCAGTGTGGGGAGCTTAGGAATAGGAAAGTAGAGCAAAAGATAGTGCATTAGAAAGGTTGGGAGTGTTGGGCTTGTGGACTGGGGTCATGTATTTTACCCTGTGATGTATTGCTCCCCCAGTGAATTGGGTGGCTCCATTCACTCCAATGCTGAGCACTGCCACAGAGTGGGTTATAGCGGCTCCGAACACGAAACGTGTAGAGTTTCTGCCCATCCACGCTAGGCAAAGTGAAACTATGTCTGTGGGCCACTGATTGTTCCTTTGGGAGAAAGAGGGCCAGAGAAAGGTGGATGTCTATAAAATAAGGGAAAATTAGAACGTGCTGCTTCCCCCACCCCAATGTTATCTTCTGGTTCTTCCCAATTCCTCCCTCCTCTCTTAACTACTCAAATAACACTGCTCCCTTCACTGGCTTGAACCTAATGCCTCCTCTCCAGATTCTCTTAAAGGCTGCTTTTTGTTTACTTGTCTATCTAGTATTAGGGAGAGTATGAGTAGGGAAAGCTTAATGAAAATCACTGGTGAAGACAGAGAAAGGAGATAAGGGGGAGAGGGAGGGTGGGCTTGAGACTGGTAGGCAGAGGAACTGGGATGCAAAGGCATAGAAATTTGGGATTAGGTCGTCCTATCTGGCTGACTGAATCTTTTATCCCCACTTGCTTGGCCTTAGCTGCTACATTCATTTCCCCAGTCACTCACAGTCCAGCTGTGGTCCCGGTCACTCCGGTACTGCACCAGATGTTCCAAACAATGGTCCAAGTATCTGTTGTGCCATCTCAGCTCCAGCTGGGATTCACCCAGGTTGTGAAGTGTTAGATTTTCTGGAGCCCAGGGGATTACTGGAGATATGTGTGCGTGTGTGGTCATTCCCCTGGCCTAGACAAGTCAGGATCCTGAAGGTAGTGCCCCTTATCCCTCCTTCCTTCCCTATCCCAATCCCTCACCTCCTCCTGTCTGCCCAAGTAGCCACATCCCAATTGCCCACTCCCTCCTTTCTGCCCAAGAGTATCACTCCATATACCCAAACACCCTACAATATCCCTGGTCTCTTGACTCCCTCTTTCCAAATACCCAGATCCTGCAGTTTTAGTGTCTTCACAGCCTGCCTCTTGGATTCCCTTGGGTCCTGGAGCTGGACAACAAATGTTTGGTAGAGATGGATCTCCTCTTTCTGAATCCAACAGCCAGAAGTGATCTCTTCAGAGAATAGATAGTGTCCACATTCTTGGGCTTGATCATTATCAGAGTTCTTGTACCTAGAGAAGAGTTGAGAGGAAGAGGAGCAGTGGGGCAAATCTGAGTACTACAGATGTCCACAACCCACCCTCATCTTCTAAGTCATAAGTCTAACTGACTTATGACTTGTCCCATGAGAAAATAGTGAGAAGCCTGGCTACCCTCTTTCTTGGTCCCCACGCAATCTCTCTCATCCAGCCCACCTCCTCTTCCACCTGTGTGCTACTCCCTCATCTCTTCTCATACCAATAGTGCAGAGTCAGGTTGGTAGGCTGGGGCTCAGAGCTGCTGTTCCAAGTGCAATTCATGTACTCGACATTGAACACAAAACACTGAACCTCTGGAAGGGGCAGGGTAGAAACACTGAGGGATCCAGGGGACAGAGAGGTCAGAAAGAAATCTAAGTTGGGGAAAAATTGAAGTGGGGGAGGAGAAGAGAAGAAATAATAGTTAGAGGAACAACTAGCATGTGGCAGGGAACCCATCCCCCTGCCCGCCCCACTCTGCTCTTAAATTTTGCCCACATAGTCCAATGACAGAATTGAGATTTCTGTATGGCCCCTTCTCACCAGCCCCTCTCCCCCCTGCCCCCGTCCCAAGTTCCCCACCGACTGTGATGTCTTCAGTCCCATTGGGTGTGAGGGCTATCAGGTTCAGCCCTACCCCCAGCAGAGGCAGCTGCAGGAATAAAAAGAGTCTGAGTGGCAATGATGGCTTCAACATGGCGCTTGCTATTCGTTCCCTGGGTGTAGTCTGTGTCAGGAACCTGGGCCCTTCACCCATTAGCCCCCACCCACCCACGCATTTCCTTTGTCAGAGCTTCCGGTGGAAAGAACCTTAGAGACCAGGGCTTTACAGAGGGTGTGGCAAATGTGTACTGTCACACAGGCTAAGTCTCTGGGAGTTTAGGTGCCACTGTCAGGTGGCATTAAATAGAAACTAAGGTTGGTTACATTATTGCCACGGACTTAAGACACCTCAGACCACCTAGATCCTAGAAAGGATCTGTTCACTTCAGCCACCATTTCCAAATAACTTCTCTAAATCATTACTTATATAGTGGAGAGTCTGAACCTCCCCCTATCATATGCTATGCTCCTCTCTTTGTCAATGCTCCATTGTCTTGGGAGGATAGGAAATGCAGTCTTGGCTCCTATGGTTAAATATATAGCTATCTTTCCTCTTCTCTAATCAGAACTAGAATACCCACCTTAGCCTGACATTGAAAGGAGGTATGACTTAGAAGGTGACTCTGGGAATGGAAAAACAATACTAGTTTCAACCTCCTCATCTCCTCCAAAATCTGCTTCTCTTCCTGTGTTTCCTATCTCACCTAAAGCTATCATCACCCTCTCAATCACCCAGACTTGAAACCTCAGAGTCATATTCAAGTCCTCCCTCTCACCCTAAAAATGTGTTTCTCTCAGCAGTCTCTCTTTTCTATTACCACAGCCACTGTATTAAATCAGGCCCTCATTACCTCTACCAAAACCAAAAAACAAATGCACTGCCATCAAGTCAATTACAACTCATAGCAACCCTACAGGACAGAATAGAACTGCCTCATAAGGTTTCCAAGCCTGCCTCACCAAACCAAACCCACTGCCATCAAGTCGATTCTGACTTATAGCGACCCTCGTTGGGTTTCTAAGCCTGTAAATCTTTACTGAAGTAGATTGCCTCATCTTCCTCCCACAGAGCAGCTGGTGGGCTGCTGACCTTCTGGTTAGCAGCCACATGCCTTACCCACTATGTCACATCTAGTCATGATTATTACTAGAATCCACTTACTGGTCTCCTTTTTCTAAAAGCTCTCTAATCCATTCTTCATCCTGTTGTGAGATTTACCTTCCTGAAAACACAGAAGAGCTCATTGGAGACACTACTTGTAGAAATTGTTTATTAAGCAAATATTTATTGAGCCCTTACTATGTGGCAGGCACTGTGCTTATGTTTTGGGAATGTACAGATGAGTAAGACATCTTCACCCTTCTAGGAGCTCATAGTTGAGTGGGGTGACATAAACAAATAATACCATACAGTGTAGTAAGTTCCATAGCATAGATATGGAGATAGTGCAAAGTATGTGAACATAGAAGAGGAAGTAACAAAGTTTACCAGGATTGCAAGGGGGAGAGGGGAATTCAGGGAAGGCTTAGTTGGAGAGGTGCTATTTGAAAGGAATCTTAAGGAATGAGTAGAATTTTATTAGACAGAAAAGCAGTAGAACACCAGGCAAAGGAAAAGAGCATTTGACTGGAAGTCTCAGGAAATCTGGTTTACAGCAGTCCTCAGATTACAAATGAGTTAAATTCCTAAATCTGTCTAAGTCAAATTTTTATATAAGGCAGAACAGTTAGTCAGGTATGGTTAGGTTCATCCAATGTTGTCTTAGTATCTAGTATCTAATGTACCATTTGATGCATAAAAAACATTAAAAACACACTTCGAGATACATTAAAACATCCTTAATATAATAATACAGTAATAATAATGTTTTGATGCGAGCCACAAAGTAGCAACCATTTGTTATTACGAACCATTGTATGTACCTCAAATTTTAATATAATAGGCTTTGGCGGGGGTTGGTTTGTAACTACTGTAAGTAAGTCTGATGTTTGTTCCCCAGAGACTGCCTGTATAGTTGTCTTTTCATAGCTATTATTAGTGCAAATAATTTATCCCCTTGGGACTAACTTATAAAATGAAAGGTTGAATTGATGACACTTAAACTCTCTTTTAGCTCTAATGTTCAAGGGTGTATTAGTTTCCTAGGGCTACCTTAACAAATGACCACAAAGTGGGTAGCTTACAACAGAAATTTATTCTCTCATAGTTCTGGAGACTAGAAGTCCAAACTCAAGGTGTGGGTGCAGTTGGTTTTTTCTGGAAGCTCTGAGGGAGAATTCATTCCATGTCTCTTTCCTGGCTTATGGTGGCTGCCAGCAATTCTTAGGGTTCCTTGGCTTGCAGACCTAACCCTCCAATTTCTGCTTCTGTTTTCACATCACCTTCTCCTCTAAGTCTCCTTTCCTCCTCTTCTCTTCTATGGTCACTTGTCATTGATTTAGGGCCCACTGTAATCCAGGATGGTCTTATCTTGAGATCCTTACCTTAATTACATCTGCAAAGATCCTTTTCTCCAAATAAGGTCGCATTCACAGTTTCCTGGTGGACTTATATTTTGAAGGCCACCATTCAGCCTACTACAGAGTCTTCAAAAGCTACCCATAGCCTTCAGGAAAAAATCCAAACTCCAGTCATCACGTCCACATTGGACACGTCATAGGCATTTACTCTCTCACTAGAATTGTTAATGTTGTTATTAGCTGCCTTGGAGTTGGCCCCTGACTCATGGCGACCACAAGCACAACTGTCTGGTCCTGCACCATGTGCATAATTGGTTGTGGATCCAATTGTTCTGATCCATAGGGTTTTCATCTGCTGATTTTTGGAAGTAGATTGCCAGATCTTTCTCCTTGTCTACCTTAGTCTGGAAGCTCTGCTCAAACTTGCTCACCATCATAGCAACATGCAAGCCACCACTGACAGATGGGTGGTGGTTGTGTATAGGAGGATTGACTGGGTGGGAATTGAACTCTAGTTTCCTACATGGAAGGCGTGAATTCTACCACTGAACCACCACTGTCCCCATCTAAATTAGGCTGCTAACCAAAAGGTTGGTGGTTTGAACCTATCTCAAGATGAGGCAGTCTGCTTCCATAAAGATTTACAGCCTTGGAAACCCTACGGGGCAGTTCTATCCTGTCTCATAGAGTCACTATGAGTTGGAATCAACTCAACAGCAGTGAGTTTAATTTTCTGCAGTCAGCTACTAAACTAAAGTTTGGCAGTTAAACCCACCCAGCAACTCCATGGAAAAAAGGCCTAGAGAACTGCTTCTGTAAAGATTATAGCCAAGAAAATCCTATGGACTGTTCTAACTCTCTAACACCTGAGGTTGCCATGAGTCGGAATCAACTTGATGGCAACAAGTTTTATTATTTTAAAATTTTTTCTGTAGCAGTCCTTGGGTAGTGCAGAAATTTAACTCATTCAACTGCTAACTGAAAGGGGAGAGGTTTGGGTCTGCCCAGACTTGGTGCTCTACTTCTGAAAAATCAGGCATTGAAAACCCTCTGGAGCACAGTTCTACTCTGGGACATGCGGGGTCACCATGAGTCAGAATGGATTCAACAGCAACTGATAATCTTCTATGGATTAAAATCCTTCAGGGTCAGCTCAAATGTTACCTCCTCCAATATGTTTTCTTCTCCCCAGTCAGAATTAATTTTTCTTCCCACTGTAATTCAATAGCATTTTGTACTTTTATTGTAGCACTCTGGCTATCTCGTCTCTAAAAGGTAATACCTTTCTAAGCAGAATATTGACTCTGGCATCAAGAAAGAATTCTAGTCTCAGTTCTGTTACTCATTAGCTGTATAAGATTAGGCAAATGAATCGGGTTAAAGAACCCATAAACGGGGACAATAATAATCCCTAACTCATGGGGCTGTGCATGGATTAAACGAGATAACGTCTGAAAAGCATCTTGCCTCCCAAGAGCAAGGGTTATTAACCTGAGGTTGGTGGACACTTAGGGGAGACATGAGCTTCACGGATCCAAAAATATCCTAGGAAAGTATCTGACATTTCGTATGCCCAAATATGCATTTTTCTGAGAAGACCCATAACTTATAGCATCTTGAAGGGTTTTTGAATTTAAAAAGATTAAGAACCTCAGCACTAGACCATATGAAGGCTTCGAGGGGTTAGAACCATCCTTTCAGGGTTTAATATGTGCTTTCTTACATACATACAGTTTTTAATCTTCTCAAGAAGATAATAGCACACTAATTTTAAGACGCGGAGACTAAGAACCGAATACTTGTAGAAGGTACAGTTTCGAATTACTGCAAATAATTACTGAGCACCTTTTCTGGGCCAAGAACTGAGCTAGGTGCTGGGAACTCAATTCTAGTCAGAGCGCAGCACCACAGCTCAGCTACACGACTGCTCCTCCTTTTTAACTTTGTATCCCCAGCAGAGTACTCGGCTCAGGAGCGTTTTGCAGACATCTGGAGAGGGAGATAGATTTTGCGCTGCCGGGTAGGAAAAGCTTTCTGGGCAGGGAGCTCCGCCCCACGTCGGGCCGGGTCCCGCCCCCTCTGCAGTCGGTATTATCCGACGGTTCCCGGCGTCCCTCGGCTTCACTCGGTAGTTTCCGGCAACGATCGAGAGTTTGTAACGTGCCCCTTGTTGTCTCTCCGCTGCGTCCTCCCAACCGCCGCCCCCCTTTTCGGCTCCCTCTTCCCTCTCCGCCCCCCCCAGCCCCAGCCAGCCCCTGCTGGCGCCTCTGGCGCTACGGGCTGGGCAAGATGGCGGCCTTCGGGATCTTAAGCTACGAACACCGGCCCCTGAAGCGGCCGCGGCTGGGGCCTCCCGATGTGTATCCTCAAGATCCCAAACAGAAGGAGGTTTGTTTATTAATTGGGGATCTACAGGGACTAGAGGCAAGCGATCAGCATAGAAGGAGGCATTGACGATTTGGGGAAGGGGGGGCGGGGCGATTAGGTGGGAGGAAAAGTCCCGAAAGGGGAAGAGTAAAGTGGGAGAGTAGGACCTGGGTCTGAGGGCTTCTGGCTGTGAGTAGGGAATGATGTAGGAGCCACGCCACAGCCCCCCCCCCCCAGACAGACAGAGAGAGAGAGAGAGAGAGAGAG